GTGTGTAGTTGGGGGGGGGGGGGGGAAGAGTCAGTGAAAGCATCCCACCGAGTCTTTGCTGCGCAGCGGCACGGTGCCATCGCGGCACTGCCCCTCGTCCTGCGTGTCCAGCAGGTTGCGCCCCCTGTAGGTGGAGTAAGGCGTGGGTGCCTCCTCCGCGGTGGGTGGAGTCTCCGTGCTGGAGGTGTGCGCCGCCGGAGAGTCGCCGCGGCCCCGAGCCTCCGGGCGAAAGGCGTCGCAACGGGGCCGCGCCGGGGGCCGAGGCCGCGCCAGGATGTCCAAGGTTTTGGGCCGCTCGGGGGTGCAGCGGCGGCGAGGGGTGGGAGGAAACACCACATTGGGGTCCGGAAGGCGGGGGACGGCCGAGGGGTTGTCTGGGAAACCTCGGAAGGTGCCCCCTGGGGGAGTGGGACGAAAAGACTGATGAAGCTAACAGTCTGGTTTTAATTAAAGGGGATTTATGTGGATTAAGGCAGCAATTAACTATTTTAATGATTGATTCCATTTCCATTCTATTATTCAAAAACAGGACATTATTTTAAATTGACAGTCTACAAAATGCACAAACATAAAATGAAAATGATTCAATGACTAGTTTGGTCAGTGGGGAAAAAAAAAAAAAGAGAAAATGTTGACCACTGTTTTCCAAAGTAAAAGAAAAGGTTTTATTTTGTTGCAACGCAAATATAACTGTGAGGACTATCAAAATCTTTGGAATTCGGAAAATTTTGAATGAAAAACAAGGTCTCAATTAATCAATTAATTAACCCAAATGATAATGGATACATAAATGTGAGTAGAAGGAGCGAAATGTTGCTCTTACCTATGTTCTCCAGGATGGTTTGCTCCGGCAAAGGTTCCAGGTTGTTCTGCGGGCAGCTCTTCCTGATGGCGCCGTCGGACGGCGTGCGTCGCAGGCTCACGACGCGTGGGCCGGCGGCACTCGATGCGCAGGGTACGTGCGTGGGCGTGAGCGACTGGCGTGGGTTGCGCTTGAAGCTCTCTAGGTGGGTGTTGACCAGAGCGTTACAGTGGCACCGCGCGGGCGGCGGCGCCGGCAGCTCGTCGCTATCGGAGCGGAGCAGCGAGCGCGTGGAAGAGTCGCGGTCCGGGGACGGGAAGGATGGTGGGATTCGAAGTGGACTGTCGCGGCGGAATAGTCTGTGCGCGTGGAAGAAAGCGTCCCAGCGCGATTTGACGCCCTCCTCCGGCCGAGCCAGCGTCAGCAAGTTGGAACCAAGCCCGGCCGCCGCCAGCAGAGCGCCGCAGCCCAGAAGTACCAGGTCCGTGCGTCGGCCTCCGCCAGGGCTCTTACGGCTCGGCGTCGCTCCCGGAACGTGGATTTCTGCAAAGGGATCCCCGCCGGCTGCTGATTGGTCCCCTTCCTGGTCGGGCGGGCACAGGTACGTCTGAGCTGGGCCTGCTTCTGAGCCGCTCACGAAGCAGCAGTCTTCATTTTCTAGAAGGTTGAAATCAATGATTGCATTCATTTGAAAATATTCTTACAACATTAAAAAAAAAAATATATATATATTAAATACAATAATAGAAAATGAAGAACAAGCATTAATTAAGCAATAATTACACACAAAAAAATGAAAGGAATCAGATTATATTTCATTTTATAAAAAATAGACTTTACTTGACGAATATGTATTAAGATTTTTTTTGGGAAAAATCGACTAAGCAAGGCCAAAAAATTAGTACAAAAAATTTTAAATGACCAAAAAAAAAAAAAAAAAGAAACCACAATTATTTTTCTTGTGTTCTTTAAAAATTAAGAATTGCATTTATTTTAAGGCTGTGAAAACATTTTAAAAATACGAAACTTAATACCCATGTAAAAATATATCTATGTTTTAAAAGTAGAAAAAAATAATAATAATAATAATAATTTATTTTTAAATACCGGTATGGGGCCAGCGGCTAACATATTTTTACACTTGCATGACGGTCGTGAATGCTAAAATGTGACGGAGCAGAAGTTACCAAGCTCCAGGAGGCTGGGCACTCCAGGCACAGCGGGGCTGTGTCTGGGGGAACGGCGCAAGTTGGGGGCGCTGCAGGAGCGCTGGCGGCTGCCCTCGGCGGCGGGCCTCACGCTGTCGGCAGTCACGTTAGCATTAGCATAGTTGCGGGATACTTTTACGTGTTTAATGAAGACCGGCTGGTGTGTGGTCACCTGGCGTCGGCGCTGTGCTCCCGGTGCGGTCCGCACACTCGCGTCCTGCCTTTCTTCCTGGAGCCCCTCCTTTCGACCTCCTCTTCGCCCGCGCTGCGAGCCCAGCCGCCGCAGCAGCCCTCCCGCGGGGTGACTGAGGAGAAGGTGAAAGTTGCCATTGAGCTTTTTGAATCAAAGTCATTTTTCCACAGATTACGAAGAATATAAGAGTATTGTTATATTACCTAGATGTACGTGCTATTACAGCATGTGGATGTTAACATTGAACAATCTCTCTCGTGATGTTTAATGCCAATTTTTGGGTGCCAGTCTGAGCTCTAGTATAGACAAATGGCACCCGAGGGCCAGCCAAAGTGAAACAAAATGTGACTTATGGTCTGAGAAATACGGCATGTCGTACTCAAATGTGGAGATGCAGTGCCAAACTGTTTCTCACCATTTCAATTTTCCTTAGTTTTATTTAGGAATGGCTAAAATGACGCCCAGTGATGTACTTGAGCGTCCAGGATGAGGTTTTTTTTTTTTTTTTTTTAAAGGATGATTTGGGTGTATTAAGATCATACGTTGGATGGCTCGGAGGCGAGGGAGCAGCGGCGGGCTGCTAGGAGGGCTGGAGCCACTGCTGAGCAAACTCCTACGGCGGTCATGTGACGGTGATGCCTGCACAGTGATCTTGTGCTGGAAATCTAAAAAAAAAAAAAAAAAGTAAGTGGTTTTATTTCCACAATTGTGCATTCCTCGTCTGTCCAGTGTGTGTGGTTCAAATTTGGTAGCAATTGGACAAAATCTCAGCAGTTCATCTTTGAAAGATACTCCGGCTGTAATTTGGCTTGACTGCTTGAGACTTTTTTGTGGGTCTATTCATGACAGTCATGTCTACAAAATTCATGTTTCTAAACAAAACTGGCTTTCGGTCCTGAATTTGTAACATTATACAGGGTGCGAACAAACAAAAATGACCATTTGTAACCAAAATGGCAGACTTCCGCCTTGGGCACAGCTGCTTGAGAACTTTTTTTGTGGGTCTCATGGCAAACATATCTACCAAATTTAATGTTCCAAAGTGAAACTGGCAAAGGGAGCCGATTTTTATTTTTAAACCTCAAACCATTTCATATCAAAATGGCAGCCTGTGTGGCTTCGCTGCCTTAAATAACTGACGGTTTTTTTTGTAGGTCTACTGATGATGTACACGCCAACCAAACCATACCTTGCGGTAGGCTTATCCTGTTGCCATCCTTGATTTTCAGGCGGTGGCGCCGGAACTTGCCCTGGCGCCGCTCTACGTGCGGCTTGTCGCGGTACAGCTGATGGATGATAATGTTGAGCTCGCGCTCCAGAATGTGGATCTCCCGCTCAGCCAGCTCCTGCTCGCGCCGCCGCAGCGCCTCCTCCTGGCACTTCTGCTGCAGCGCCGCCCGCGTCAGCTCCTCCTCCCACGAACGTAGCTCCTAATGCCAAAAAGACCGATGCCTTTGAGTCACAAGGGACATGTCATTAGGTACCCCAACCACTTCCTACCTTCTCCTTGGTCCGCAACTGGTCAAACATCTCTTGTATCTCCACCTTCCAGTCGTCCTGCAGGGAGCAAAAGGACTCGGCCGGCATCTCAAAGAATCCCGACTCTTCAATGGTGGTCAGCCGGTCCAGAATGTTGGCAAAGGGCGGCCGGGAGTGAGGGTCTGAGCTCCAGCACCCTGCGATCGTGACAATTACATCACAGCTCGAGATAACCAACACAACCGGGTGGTCGTGTCTTACCCTAAGCGGCAAAAACAAAATGGCCTCTTCAAAGTAAAATGGCTGACTACCTATGCGTCTGTTGAATTTCATTTTGAATTCAAGAGGACGCTCCTGGACCAAAATAGCTACGATACACCAAAATGGCAGACTCCCTGTGTATTTCTAGGCAGGCATTTTTGTGGATCTACTCATGATAAACACGCCTCCAAATATTTCACATTATGAAGTGAAATTGGCTTGGAGGGCAATTGTGGAGGATGCTACAGAGCCACAATGACCACTTCAAACTAAAATGGCAAAGTTCCCGTGTCATTTTCGGACATGGCTTCTTTTTTTGTGGGTCTACGTGTAACACACATGGCAAACACATTTCTCTGTGCTACGGTAAATAAAACTGGCACTGGGGTTGAATTTTCAGTTTTCATTCAAGAGGGTGCTACAGATCCCCAAAGGCCATTTCAAAACAACCGGAAAGACTGCTTCAGGCTTCTTGAGACAATTGTGTGGGTCTACTACTTTTAATAGTCATGCCAACCAAATTTCACAGCGCTAAGTGAAACTGACTTTAGGGGGCTGAATTTTCTTTTTCAATTCGAAAGGACACACTGAGCCAAAATGTCTGCTTCAAAACAAAATGGAAGATTTCTTATCTTTTTGAGGCATTTGTCTTGAGATTTTTTTGTGGGTCTTCTCATGACAGACATGCCTACTAAATTTGCTAAGTCAAATTGGCCGAACGTGACCGCGTCTCACCTTCCATGAGGCGCGCAAAGGGTTCAGGACACGTGGAGGGGATGGGCAAGGCCAGCTTGTTCATGGCCACACCGTAAGCCACCGCCAGTCCGTCGATGCCCCGGAACGGCACTTCTCCCGTCAGCAACTCCCACAGCAGCACGCCGTAACTGGAAGAGCAAAATCCACACGCTTCATGACACAGAGTTCAGAAAAGTCATTTTGCAGCTTTGATGGCGCCAGATAGTAAGGTGATCGGAACTGATTGGACACGCCCACTCAACTCCGGAAAAATGACTGACGCTGTCAACGACTCAAACTTTGGACCAGCTGCCAATCTCAGAGGACTCGAGGAAGAAACTGCTTTCATTTATTTTGGGAGAAACTCCTCAGCATTGCGGAATCAAAATCGTATTTCATGGAGGATGACGATGTCAATGTAAACGTTCACACATGCTACAAATACATTTGTGGATTCTAAGAGACATATCGACACATTCACACACAGATCCATGGACGTTGACTGAACAAAAACAAAACAAAACAGAGTATATAACTATCTACTGTTTGTAAAATATAAATTGAGAACTAGCCGGCTTTATTTGGGCTGTTCGGCCCCCCCCAGGCGTGCTGGCTATCCAGCCGTGAAGTTGCTCGGCGTCACCATGGAGGTGAACACAATTTTTCCTCCAAGGGGAACCGGCCGTCGCCCTCCCGTGCACCATTCCGCCGACGGATCACTGAATTTTAACAGAGCCAACACAAGGAAGAGACACGGTGGCCACAAGACGCCCACACAATCAGAACATTTTCTATTTTTCATGAGCCTGCTGAGAAAATACACTGGTGCAAATATAATTGCTTCTTGGAATGAAAGAAAAAACGGGTTACCCGGGGAAAACCCACACAAGCAAGGGGAGCACATGCAAACTCCACACAGGAAGACCGGAACTGGAATCGAACCCACGACCTCTGCACTGTGAGGTCGACGCACCAACCACTCGACAACCAGGCCGAAATATCACTAACGAGGACTGAAATCTAATGATTGAACAAAGTCTGAAAATTTTACTATTGACATTTCGATTTTTCTTTTTATATTGGTGGGGGATCAATGACTGAAAGATGATTGGCGAGTTGGGCAAAAACACATTCCATTTTTGGAAAATGGTATTGCACGCATTGCACGAATAATAAAAAAATAAAAAATAAGACAATAATAATAGTACAAAATCTGAACAGATCAATGATAATCTTTCAGTGTGGACCTTCTCCATTAACCATGCATTCATTGTGCTAAAAAAAAAAAATAATAATAAAACAATAAAAATCCCTGTCGTTAGATGGCAACTTGCATCCCCTGCCAAACTATTTCTTGGGACGTTTTGTAGACGTTTTTCTCATGTGCTTCTGAAAGCCCCCCCCCCCCCCCTTGCTCTTTTGCCCACCTCCACACGTCGCTACCCTTGGAGAAAGTGGAAGAGCGGATGACTTCGGGCGCCATCCACGCGTAGGTGCCCGCCGCGCTCATCTTGGTGGTGCGCTGCCACTCGCGCGCCAGCCCAAAGTCTGTGATCTTCAATGTCTTGTTGCTCAGGTCATCCTTCTCGAGCCTCTCCAGGATGAGGACTGGGGAGTTGTGAGGTGGGAGGGGTATGACGAGGTGCAGGGGGTGGGGGGCGATTTGGATATTGGGTGGGTTTGCGCATGTCGGCGAAGGCAAGGGGGATTCCGATTTTTAAAATAATCATAAAAAAAAATAATAAAATAAATAAAATAAAATCAAATCAATTGTGAAATGAAGCGGAAACACAAATATGGAGGGTGAAAAACGGATCGAAGGAGATTTTGTGGGAGAACGAGGTTCGGAGTAGAAGAGCAGAGAACAAACAAACAAGTCGTGAGATACAAGCTGTGTTCGGAATCAACCGGTAAATTGAGAGCTTCGCCTTTTGGCTCAGCTGCTTCTTTACCACGACAGACGGCTACAAAGTCCGCATCACAGCAGACGCTGCACGAATCCGCCTGTCGATCTCCCGTTCCTTCCTGCCCTCCCTCGTGAACAAGACCCCAAGATACTTAAACTCCTCCATTTGGGGCAAGATCTCCTCCCCGACCCGGAGAGGGCACTCCACCCTTTTCCGACTGAGGACCAT